GGAGGCCAGAGGACAGCCTCAGGTATTGTTCCTCAGGTGTCCCCTACTTTTTATTTGTGGGGGGACAGGCTCTTTCAGTTAGCCTGGAATATGCCAAGTAGGCTAGGCTGGCTGAGCAGAGCGCCCCAAGGATCTGCCTGCCTTTGTCTCTCCTGCCCTGGGGTTGCAGGCATGTACCATCATGCTAACTTTTGAATACAGGTTTGGGGACTGAGCCATCTTCCCAGCCCAGTTCTAAATATTCTTTATAACAGTCAGAGAGCAGTTAGAGGCTTTGTCTCTACGTAAGCAAACATTAAAAGCTTGCATTTTACTTTATTACATGTGACAGTGGTCTTGCCATTTTTGTGTGTTTGAAGGCCATATCTGTTGAAGATACAAAATGAAGGGGCTGGAGAGATGGCTCAGTGGCTAAGAGCACTGGCTGCTCTTGCAGAAGACTCAGGTTCAAATCCCAGCACCCACATGACAGCTAACAACTGTCTATAACTCCAGGTCCAGGAGACCCGACGCCCTCTTCTGTCCTCTGTGGGCTTTGCATGACTTGGGTGCACTTACACACATGCAGGTATATACTCATACACACAAAATAAAAATAAATAAATCAAAAAAAGATATGAACTGAAATATTATGAGTGAAATGCTATCTGGACTTGGAAAAGGTCCAGGGAGAGAGGTGTGGTAGATGGGGTAAGACTAGAACATGTTGATAATTACTGAGAATTACAGTGGGAGTATCAGAGTCACCACATTATTCTCTCCAGTGTAACAGGCTGCACATCTCTGAGCCATCTTTCCAGCCCCCCATTTTAAATTTTTTGAGATAGGGTCTCGTATATGCCAGACCGGCCTTGAGCTTGACTTGTAACTGAGGATGACCTTGAGCTCCTGTTCCTCCTGCTGAGGGCTGAACCCAGGGCTTTATTCATGCTAGACACACTACCAACTGAACTACATTCCTAGTCCTAAAATCATATTTGTCTTGCTTTCCATGGCCTGATTACGGGCAAAGGGCACCCACCCCTTAAGTCTATGGGGAGGTCAGTCTCTTTAACTCTTCTGCTCCTAGCCCTACATATAGATGTCAACACATGCCCCCAAACCAGTGATGGTTAGCTTTCATTACCATGTAGAATAATCTGAGAAGAAGGTCTCCATGAGGGATTGGCTAGATGTGATTGGTCTATGCTCATGTCTGTAAGGGGGGGGGCGTTGACTGAGATAAGAAATCTCACCCTGAGTGTGGGCAGCATCATTCCCTGGGTTTGGGTCCTGGACTGAATTGGAGTGGAATATGTGAGCCAACCAGTAGGCATTTGTACATTTATTCTCTCTCTGTTCTTGAATGTGATGTGTCTACCTGCCTCAAGTTCCTGCCTTGACTTCCCCAAAATGATGGACTATAGACTGGAATTGTAAGCCAAATAAACCTTCTCCCTCAAATTGCTTTTTGTGAGGCTATTTTATCACAACCAGAGACATGAAACCAGGACACTATGTGGATGTCTGTTGCAATCCTGGGTGGCATTTGAGACCTACAGGTGTCACTAAGCCCCTGTCACTGCCTTTCTTCACTGTCAGTCAGAGGCGAGGAAGCTGGAGAAGGAGGTTCACAAGTTCTTTCTAGAAGCCAAGAGCATCTTGCCCCCTTGGGTCAACCACTTCAGAACTGGTTCCTTCCACCAGCCGCTCGCTATTGTCAATGAACCCCACATTCCATTCCTCTGGGCTCTGCCCCTAAGGCTCTCCTTACCCCTCACCCCATCTCTAGAACTCTCTCCTTTTTCTCCTTCCTGTGTCAAGGCTCCAAGCTGTCAAATTTGGGCTGGCAGTTTTTCTGGGAACAGCATCCTGAAGTCCCTGGGGTCACCCCCAGTTTTTATTCTCAGCTCCCATCAGACATAGCTTGTCCTTGTGGGTGTTCATGACAGGTTCTTAGAACACCCTGCCCCATACTCTGATCAGATAGACTCCCCTTGGTGTTGCATCCCCCCACCCCGCTTTCTTTTCTTTCTTTAAAGTCTTGAGCAAAGAGTCAATCACTGACAACTGCCTGTTTGTCCAGGACACATTGAGCGAACACAGCTACCATTGGGCTTGTGGTCCAGAGAAACCCCAATCTCTGTAATTCAAGCCAGAATCCACCTCCATTGGTATAGAAATGGGAGCGACACTGGTTTGGGGCTTAATTATCCATAAGTTGAAAAGACAAACATACCCAGTACAGAAGGGGAACCCTCCCCTAGTCCTGAGGCTCTTGCCTGGGGTTCATTTCCCCTGCATTTTTGAATTAATAATGGCAGTGTTTTCTCTGAAGGAAGCAGCTTCTTTCTATAATGAGCTTTAATTGCTTTCTGGTCAACCCTGTAAGGAGCCAATGCCTATAATGTACAGGTTGAGCCTTAAATTCCCAGTACTGTGGTCTCACTCTACCCGAAATGAGGAAAGAACGAAAATAAAGACCTATGGATTAAGCTGATCCTCTGCCTAGAACATAGAAAGCGCTGCAGAAATTGTTGCTGATCAGACAGTTCAATGGTGCTTGGGGATCACAAATGTGATCTGATATTTTGGAGGTCTACTTTATCCTCATATATTTCCTGGGACGTTTGAGTTTCTTCTGTGGTAGCATGTGGCTGCAAGCTTTGTCCATTATAAATACGTCTTAGTGATAGAATGGAGCAGGTAGGGTAAACCAGTTGCCCATGCTTGCTGTGTTTCTTGCTGTCTGCCCCTGGAGCTACAGGGTCACCTGGGACAGGGATAGGCATCTCATCTTTGCACCCTCTGGTAGCTGAGGGTGCTCATGTGCTCAGTCAGTGTGTAGCGGGCGTTGGGAATGTACTTTGAACAGGAGACCAGAGACCGTAGCATTCTTGTCTTTTCAGAGTAGTGCTCTGGGTCCAGCAACCCAAGCAAATGACTTTTCAGGAATACCAGGAAGCAAGGCGTATTTGGGCCCCTGGGAAAGGCCATTTCCAGGCTGGATAAAAAGGGTTTCAAATATCCTCCTATTAGATCCATTTCTGATTCGATTTCTTCCAAACGTTAATTCCCTTTGACTCAGCACCCTGCCAGAGCCACACAGAGTAAACTTTTTCCAGTGAATTCCCAGAGAGCTCCTAGCCCAGCAGTAGGCTCCTGGGAAGGAGCCAAGGTGATGGGCAATGTGTGGAGTGGCTGGAGATCACCGGACTCTGGGCCTCCTCCCCACCTCTGCATCCCATGGGGACACTAGCTTTGCTGATCCTTCAGTCCATGCCAAGCACCTGACAAGCAGAGTAAAACTGAGTTCGCATGGTGATCCTGGGGCGGGGTCAGGGGGTGTTCTCACTTTGCAGAAGGGGAACAGGGTGTGTTGGTGCATACTGGTTCAAGTTCATGTGAAGTACATGGGATGGTGGGTATCCAAATGGGCTCCTGATCTTGCGCATTTCTCCCAACTGTCATTCACAAGGCACCACAGATATCAGCATTGAGTAACATGAGGATTCAAGGAGGGCTGACCACGTACCAGCTGAGCTCTAAGAATACCATGTAGACACAGGTAGGGCCCAGTGAACCCTAGGATAAACCCTTTATGACCATCCGGGGAAGGGCCAGAGCCACTCAGCTGGTGCCCAGGGCTGGACCTCACCCAAGTTCAGGCTGTACAGACAAGCCCCCAACCCAGCCAGCTTCTCTTTCCCTGTCTTGCTGTAGTGGATTCTCTCAGGAGCCCCCAGTGGTCTCTGTGCCACACCATCTTTATTCGGTTTGTTCCACTCAGCTTCCACCCTGCCACTGCAGTCTGCCCTTCTAGGTCCCAGATCTGGGCATGCCAGTATGCATGTGAGGCTCTCCAAAGCCCCTCTGGGAGATGTGCTGATCCTGAGAATGGATGCTATCAGGAAAGTCATTTACCACAGGAACACATCCCACAGATGCCTCCTAGGTCAATAACATCCTTTTTTAAAAGTTATTTTTATTTTATGTGTATGAGTGTTTTGTCTGCATGCATGTAAAGGCATCATGTGTGTGCAATATCCACAGAAGCCACTAGAAGGCATTGAATCCCCTGGAACTGGACAGTTGTTAGTCACCATGTGGGTGCTTGGAACTGAACCCGAGTCCTCTGCAAGAGCAGCCGGTGCTCTTAATGACTGAGTCATCTCTCCAGCCCCATGGGTCATAAGACTCTGTCTTCACTTCCACTGAGCAGTCACTGTGTGCCATAACTGTGGGGTGTGCTGGTGGGTACAGCGGAAGCAGGCGGGGAAGCCAAAGAACCCAGGAGAGCTTGTTAATCAAAGGAAGAAGAACAGTGCTTGCCTTTGACCTCCTCCATGTGTGGGTCCAAGACCAGGCAGGTTGCGCGTGACAGTGGTGTGCACCATCCATTCTACAGCTTAAAAAGGAGGCTCAGAAAGGTGTCCTCAACCAGAAGTAGTGGGGCCTGATTCAGACCCAGGTCTGGCTGCTTTTTCTTACCCTGATCACCGGATTGCGGGCAGCATGGAGCATGGAGGGGGCTTAGGCTGGTTTAAACGGGAATAGGTCAGCTGGACAGCCCCCCAACCTCCACTAATCACTCTTCATTGAAAGTGTGACTAAGAGATTCTTGGAAATGAGATACCAGAGAAGGGTGGTGGAGACTTGACTCCTGGAGGCTGGAGAGCAGTGGTCTATCTCCTAGGTGGTTACACCACACCCATCTCAGCCAGTCTGCACATCTCCCCAGGGGTCAATCTAGATGACTTCAGCAGTCCAGCCAACACTCTCCTTTGCTTCCACCTTCAACGGGTGTATAGACAGGCACCTGTTCAACAGCTTTTCTATTTCAAACAATGTTGTCATTAAATTCCTTGTGTCTATTCCCTGTTCACTGATGTGGAGATTCTCCAGGGTGACTCAAGGGGTCCTGGGATGAGAAGGCTGTGGGAAGAATGAAAGTGCGCTTTCCCACATGCTCTCCAGGGCACTGTCTGTCTAACCTACATCCATTTCCCTGTTCTTTCCAGTGGCTGATATTATCCCTGATCTTTGCCTGTGAACCCCCAGCTGCATCTCTCAGGTGTGGGAGAATCCCTGGGATCGATGGAAGAAGAGGCCTGTGGCTCCTTGGTCTTCACACGGGTGTGTCACAGAGGGAACTGAATCACCAATGTGACAAGCGTGTTCAGCATTACAAGGCTACTCATGGCCAGAGGCGTAACAGTGGCTGTCACTCCCCGTACAACTTATGATTCTCTTCCTGTACCCACAGCCAGGGTTGCTGGGCCACTCTCAACCTCTAGAATGGACAGGGTCCACACTGACGTGTATTCCTGGATCCTGCCTCAGCTCCAGCACATAGCACGCACATGGTTCATCTTTGCTGGATGGGCAGGCGGGGACGGGTGACATTGTCATCAGGTCTGGGCCAGGGCCAGTGAGAGCACAGCTTCCTTACACATCTGTGTACTCTGACTCTAGGGGAGTCCAGCAACTTGGGCTGGAGTTCCTGGTAAGACACCAGCACATGGCCTTTGTGTCCCAGGGGAGAAAGGGATGAGGAACTTAAAGCCCTCAGTCATTTCCTCAGGGACACCAGAACTAACACACTTGTAACAGATTAGGACAGGGGCAGGGGCAGGCTCCAGGGCATCAAGGTCGGGGTGTGCCATGTCATACATGGCAGCTGATCTTCAGGTCAAAGTTCAAGGGTGCCAACCTATCCAGTGTACTCCAGTCTTTCCCAGGGCAGGCAGGGCTGCAGGCTGCTCTGATTTCCATTAGAGGAACTGGTATGAAGTCAGCACAGAGGGTTTGAGAACAGGTTGTGTCTAAGGAATCTGAGCAAACAGAGTCTGAATTCCTACGAACACTGAGGCTCCTCTGGGCACTCTTGAGCTGTCGGACAGGCCATGACCCATGGCTGTCCTCCAGCTACACCAGGTGAACACTATGCAGCACCGTCTTCTGCCCAAAGCACGACATCATCCAAGTCCAGCATGCCATCATTCATAGCCAGTGTGACATCACTCACGGGGTGCACTTACATATAAGCAGGCAATATAATCATACACACAAAATAAAAATAATAAATAAAATATATTTTTAAAACATTACAAAAAAGGACACAGGAGCAGTAACGGCAACAAACCAGTGTCAGGATCCCAGTGCAGGCCCAGGCCAGACAAACCTGAAGAAAGCAGCTCCAGGCAGAGGGCCAGCATGGGGAAGGCCCCGCGGCTGGGAGGACCGGAGGACAAGGGAACATCCTATGGAGCCTAACTACATGAGCCATAGTGTGGCAAGTTGTCTGAATCTGAAAGAGGCAAGGCTGACCAACTGCCTCGGCCGGGGAGCCTGTGGATGTCTGGCATTCCGTGCAGAAAGGAGGGGTGCGTTGGTCACCCTGGGGTGGAGTTACCAGGTGAAGCCTCCTGGAAGGGAGAGGAGCTGTAGAGAACCCCAGAAGCTGGGATAACGTGTGGAGTGACTGAGCCTGTGTGCACCTGTACTGGAGGGTTTGGCCTGGCCTGTGGGCTGCTGATGTCTGCCCGACATTAACATTTGCTTTTACTAGCTTCTGCCCTGGAAAATAAGGACGGAAGTTAGAGCTGCTCTTAGCAGCTTCGGGGCTACCCTGGCTCTAGCCCTCCGAGATGGGGCAACCCCGGAAGGGGCCAGGATGCAATTACTATAATCTCTACCACATGGCTCCCACTGGCCTCTGTCTCTTCCGCACAGTCATAGGTCACCCTTACCCTTACCCAGAGCTTCCTGAGATGCCAGTCATCCTGGGGCCAGAGGGAAAGGCAGGGAGGCAGACATGAGGGATCCTCCTTAGGGACTAAGTGGGAGGGTGACTGAGCTCTCCTGGCGTTTGTAGAAAACCAGCCGGTGAACTCTCATAGCCACCTGCTGAGTCTGAAATGTGGGTCTACGCCACTGCTGAGACCCACCAGCACCACTGAGATCTTAGAACAACATTATTATTTTACTGCTGTGTAAAGAGAAGCCCAAAGCCAGTGTTCCAGGCTAAGACAAAGCAAGCAAGGCAGGGCTGGTCCATCCTGTGGCCAGAGGTCGACTCTTCTCCAGCCCCTAGCAGCCTCTCTCCTCAGCTCAAGCCCCTTCCTTGCAGCCCCTGACTTCTGCTTCATCTCACGGCCCCTGTTGCTCACTTGACCCTTCAAAGACAGTGGGCCATCTGGAGAGTCCAGGTCACCTCCCATCCCAAGTCCTTAACTGAATCAATCTGTACAGGCCTTCGAGTGGATGGTGATGTGTCCTCAGGCCTGACTAAAGGATTAGGACCTGGACTCCTTGGAGAGCCTTCACCATCCTGTCAGGACATCACTCTTGTCCCTATGTTGCAGACAGAAACCAAGGCTAGGAGAGTGTGAATGCTGCCCAGGGTCAAGGCCAAGACGAAGTCAAAGCCCAGGCCCTGGAGGGTCACCACAATGGCTTGTGCAGGTCACTGGGACCTTCATGAGATTAAGGCAGAAGTAACCCATAATGGGCGTGTGGTTGAGGGGACGGAGACAGAGTTGGACAGCAGCCCTGAGCTGGATGTCTCTGTGCAGGGACACCCTCCCTTATAGTCATAAGTGGTCATCACTTCTCTTGGTGGTCCCTTGTGGGAATGACTTTTCTGGGAATGCCCTCTGATACAAATAAGACTCTTAACTAAGCTTGTAACCAAAGGTAGTATTATGTTTTGAGATCACTGAATACATTCTATTCACTCTGCCTTCCTATAGTACAATCAGCTTGTTTATAATGTAAACCATCTTACTAGGCTCTGGGCACCTCTTATAATCAGCCTTTATAAGCTAACACATAGTTTTAATCTTTAAAACAAATTTTTGTTTTGTTTTATATATATGAGTGTTTCACCTGTATCTATGTAAGTGCACCTGTGTAACAAGGAGGCCAGCAGAGGGCATCAGATCCCCTGGAACTGAAGTCACAGATGGTTATTATATGCCATGTCGGTGCTGGGAACTGAACCCACGTCCCTCTGTAAGAGCAGCAAGCGCTTTTAACCCCTGAGCCACCTCTCCAGTCCCATATAACTTTAATCTTAAACTACTTTTCCTATTCCTCCCTCATGACCCTCCCTTGCCCCAATTCCGAATAATATATATATGTGTACGTTGTGATAATATCACCTCTGAATGCAGTAACCTGGAAACACTTGAAAGTAACAAATTAGTCACAGTATATGTGGAAAATAACAGGTGGTATTAGGTCAGTAACATCTGTGGTCTTGTATGCTGTTCTGGATAAGAGTCAGAGAAAGAAACTCTTCCCTGACATGACAAAGTTCTTCGTTTCCTTTCCCATAGTATGCTGGATATACTGTTTAATAAAGTCCTTTGCTTGGAAGAAGAGTTCCAAGACAAATCAGAAAGGAACATTTCTAAGAATAGTTAGGGTTCACTCTTGGTTTAAACAGCTCCTAGAGTTAAACAGGCACCACGGCATTATGGCATCTGCCACAGACTCTCCTAACCCAGGGCTGATGGTGGGCTGTTGGAGGGAAGGGGGGATGATAGGTAGATGGATGTAGGGTCACCTCCCTGAGCCTTCTCCTGTGCTCCCCAGGACAGCCACCCCACCAATGTACCTCTGAGCTCCATTCAATGTCTTCCTCTCTTGGTCTCCAACATATGTTCTTTGGTATTGCCCTGGGGCCCAAGGGGGTAGATCCCTGGGGCAGTGCATAAACCCACCCAGATTAGCGGAGGGCCTGGATTCTGAGTCCTGGGTCGTATGGTCTAGAAAGGGGGCGGCAGAGAGGTGACAGGCCTCAGGTTTAGGGCGGGGGGGGGGGG